GCTGGGCTCTTCGTCCACTTCCTCTCTCATCCTTCCCTCTTCCTCTCTCTGTGCTCAAATTTCTGGTCAAAGCTTATTAATTACTTCTTGTGAGATACACACCCAGATCCTCTACACCTGGATTTTTCTGTTGCATGCTACCTCCTCACCTTTTATTTTCCTATCATGACACTCATCAAAGTTTATTATAGTTATTTTTGTCACTGGAGTTTTCCCACAGAGATAGCCAGCTTTAGCTATTCAGGGGTCATGACTCTTTTTTTCTTATCTGCAAGAAAACAATGCTTAGTAGATAGCATATATTAAACTATTGATTAATAACCCAAAACTTAGAAAAGGAATAAATAAGCTAACTTATTCTATCTAAAGATGATTCTTTAGTTGGGGGGCACTGTTGGCTAGCAGTAGTGACCCAAAATAATACCAACTCTGAGAAAGTAGCATTTAAAAATGTAAAAAAAAAACGTGAATATAAGATGGAGAATACAAATTGGCATTACAGTAACATCAGGAAATGCCTCTAGATACCTATGTTTATGGATTTTTTTTCCTAACAGCAATTCATATATCTATTTCTTCCCTCAAGACTCAGTTTAAAACACACCTTATTTAAAATAAAGACCTTATTTGAATATGCTTTCTCACTACTAATGTTCAATCACTATATCCTTCCAGGTATAATACAAATAATTTCATCCTGTTTTTTCTTTTTTTTTTTTTTTTGCACTTTATCATTTGTTGAGTTCCATTTTATATAAATTCTATATCTAACCTAATTGGAATGAAAAGTTCTTTTGAACCACATCATAGATTCTTTGTATTTTATTTCTTGACATTTTCCAGTTGAGAGCTGCCTCGCGTATTAATACATCACCATATTGTGCTATATTAATGTGCTTCTCGCCTATTTTCCTGTCTAGAGAAAGTTTCCTTTCCATAGAGGAATTTTATCTTATAAGGAAGTAAACAGTAGGCACAGGATAAAAAACACATACTGATGTGAAATTAAATATGAATCCACTAATAACAGTGTATTACATTAAAAATACAAGAAACCAAACAAATATATTCTCCTTTCTGATTATGATTTCATCTTTGTTTTATGAGTTATGGTATCCTCATATTTAAGAAATAAATTTAAGAATTAAACATTCTGAATTGTTTTTTGGCTTGGGAAACTACCAGTGTATTTGTTCCTGGATTGGTAAGAATGTAAATTGAATTTATGTAATTTTTAAACATTACTTTGTGGTATGATTTGAAACTATTTTCTGATTTCAAAGATGAAAATCAACATAAAAAATTTCCCTTTTATGTTTTCCATCCTCTTATGACCAACTGTCTTTTTCATATTAAGAAAATTATGATATAATTACATTAAAAATATTTCTTTGATAAACTATGCCAAATTCTTAGCTGAATAAATATTATTTAACAATTTTCTAAGATAAACATTTTCTCAAAGCTAAGAAATCTTCTTTTATTTAAACTTACCAAATATTATGAATGGTTCAAATTAAAGAATACATAGCTTGTCTAGTAATTTTCTCATTTTTTAAATCACTTGCTCAAAATATCTGGATCATGTAATTTTTTTTTTTTTTTTGCAGTATTTTCTCTTGAACCCATCTAGGTACAGCTCTAAAGACTAGTAGCCCTTTTTATCTGAGTGTGGTAATTTGTTAGTATGTTTTTATATGTGCTCATATTTATACTTTTATTAAGTATTTTAATGTTGCTTGGTGTTAAATCTGCTTAAAAGTTAGCTAATGGTTGTTTTCGGGCAGATTCATTAGCATTTACAGAAATTCATTTAAAGAAAGGCATGAAAGTTTCTTGAAAACTGTTCTGTAGTTTTCAAGAAACCCTAGGCATAGTATCTCACTTATCATTCTCCTCTGTCCTAGATATATGTGTTATTTTTGTTTTTTTTTAGATAAACTGAGGCACAGAAAGATGAAATAATTTACCGTAAGATTACACAAGTTAGGGGCCAGGATTTCAATCCATGTCTAGGAATCTCCAAACTTTAGATTTTCTGCTATATCATGCTAACTCTTTACTAATTTAGGAACCAGACATAAGGTAATAATACTATAAAGGAGAGGGCATAGTATGGCTGAAATTGTCATCATCTCTCCTAAAGAACTGAAAGTTCAATTTTTGTGTGTAGCCTTTGCCTATTAGGATAGGACATTGACAACCATTAGTGCTATCCATTTATACAGGGATCATTTAGTAAGTTTAATTTGGTCTAATTATAAATTATATCAATTAAAAATAATTAAGTCATGCTAAAAATTTTATACATGAGAAAATAAAGATACAAGAAATTGAGAAGAAAGTAAGTGGGATTTAATAGACATTTGGATAACATGACCTTGTCATTGTTCTTTATTTTAGGATTTTCCTATAATGGAAACTGGTTATACTTTACATGCTGTATAAGAGTGAGTTGCATAGATATAAAGGAATATAGAAAAACAGAGAATATTCTCATATGAAGCTCATTCTTGGATTAGTTTTCTACTTATGAAAATCATTGTATTTTCCAACCTACATATCAAATACATCACCTAGTCTTGTCAAGTCTGCCTACTGGATAATTTTAGAACACTTCCCATCATTTCTTTATCACCATTGCTGCCTACCTATTCAACCTCATCCCCCACTCCTCTGCTCACATTAGCAATATCAAAATGCTTGCAATTTCTGGAAAGTGCTAGGCAGCTTTGTACATCAGTGCTATATCCATGTGCTCTCAGTCTGAAATATTCTTTCTTCATTTGCTCTCTTCATAAAATATGACTTGTTTTTCATAGCCTAGTTTTTTCATGTGCAAAATCAAACCCTCAACTTTCCAAGTAGACTTAATCATTCTTTTCCACCGTGCTAATAAAGAACTTTGAAAGTGGTTTGGTTAATGTATCACCTATTATGTATTTGACTGGTTTCATTATATTATATGCCAATCCCTCCTTCCACTTGGTGACCTCCCTGTGGGGATAAACAATCAGTTTAATTAATGAACATGCCAACCTCAGTATTTATTTAACTGATGATCTTTAGAGAAATACCTTAATGACCATAAGTGGTATAAAATATAACAGGCAAATGCCCTTTAATAATTTGAACTGGAGAAAATTAATGATTTTATAGAAAAGAGAATGATTATTTCAAATATATATACAGAGTATAATATTTATGCTTCTTGTTTTTAATTAATTTTGTCATTTCTGATAACAGCATTTTCAGACACTGTAAAGGATAGTATAATTTATTACTTGCAAATCAACCATATATTTAATTTTATTATCTAGTGTCAAAATTAAGTAGATGGGCAAATTATAAACAGTGGTAAAAGTTGGTATCCTAAACTAGTAACTATACTGTGTAGTCGAATTTTTACTATATATATTTATTTTAGAGAGAAAGCTTAGAAAAATAAATAAGACTATTTTGTCTAAACTTATAATTTATTTTATAACTTTGAATTTAGCTATCAGCAAAAAATTATATCCCTTATTAGAAGAATTTTCATAAACAATGTTTGAGAATGTTATTTGAAAGCAATCACTATTTATTAGTTGGATTTATAAAGAAGGGAAAAAAATCTGGCTTTTAAACCAAAAAATCTGGCAGTTTTAAAATATAATAAACCAATATAACCAATAGAATATCTTTAGAGTTAATTTGAAAGTATTTTAGGGAATGGCATATGAATCAACTTGACAAAATTACATAGTACATTTTCAATCTTCCAGAATTATTTATTGATTTTTATACGATAACTTGGAAATAAATGTGGAAATATCTCCAGAGTTAAAATTCTTTTTTCCCCTACTATGAATCCCAGGCCCTGCTTCCCTGGCTTATGTAACTGTTAATGTTACCCTGGACTAATACATGCTGCAGTAATTAATGTCCATCTAAAACTTCAACTATGCATATGATAACTGACATCCTCGCTTTTCTGAAGGTGTTTGCATTTTATCTAGTCTATCCTTATCCCTGTTAGTACAACTATCCTTCGCATCCCAGGAACCCATGTTTGGGATCAGAACATACGGTAACTGTCACTTACAAGGGTTTTAGAGTTTCACCACTGCAGGAAAGATGACTGGCGCTAGTAGTTCATTTTTGGTACGAGCAGGTTAATGGAGCTTTCTGTTTCCTTGCTATTTAGTCGTTAAAACTCATTGAGTATGTGATATAGTCGGCAAGGAATCCAAAGCAGTTTTAAAATGTAATTTGCTTAAACTTTACAGTGAAAATTAAGAGTATGTGAAAATGATCACGGTTTTAGTCCTGGAAATTAAACCAAATACTGATGAAATGTTCCATAAGTCAAACCCTTTAGGGGGGCTATGATCAGAGTCATTGCAGCTTTCCCCTTAGGCCCTGTCTATTTCCCCAATTTTAAAGCAGGAGTACAAGGCTTCATATCTTTGGCTCAATTTCACCATCAAAGAAATAAAGGAAAGATAACCCCTTTTTGAAAAGTAAGACATTATTATATGCCATAAGGTAGAACTCTAAAATATTAAAAATGAAAAATTTATACTAGTGGTCAGTAGGTGTTTTTCCCCCCCACAAGTATTATTGTTTTTAATAATTAGGAATTCTACCCCATTGACCTTCTCTTATTCCATGGTTTAGAAAGGAAAAGAAAAGAAACTGCACTGGAAATCCAACAGCATTTTCTAAGGAAAATTTTTGTAGGGACGACATGAGATATTAGACAACTACTTTTCAAGATCCTGAATATGTGTCACAGAGACAGAAATATAGGTCCTATCTATCCCAGAGTAAGTGTTGAAAAATATTTTATAAAATTTGTTTTCTGAATCAGTGAGAGACAGAGGATCATTTTCAGGATCTATTTGAAGCTACTGACTTTTCTCTTTGAACACATAGTGATGACTTCATTTCCCTTGACGTGAACGTCTTGTTTTTGAACGGGATGAGTATTCACTACACTGCTGAAGTAGTTCACTCACCTCTTTAGGTGCGTCTGCTTCAATGAATTCTGTGTAAATCATCTTGGCTTTAGAAGCAATCTTTTCCACATTTTCCGTTTTCTTGAAGTCTTCACAGGCAAGCCAGAACTCAACATTTTCTTCACTAAACTCAGATTGTAGAAATTTTCGAAAAGCATCTAAACCTGCTGCAAAATATATAAGAACAACTTTAATATCATATCATCCAGAGCAATACTGCTTCCAAAATGAGTACATTATGTGGTATGAGTACTTATTGAGTATTCAGTGACAAATACAGTATGTATCATCTCCTAAAGATTTGTATGTTTCAGTTTCTAATTTTAGAAAATCTTACTTTGGATTCAGTAATCACAAATTTAAAATATTTATCTCTATATTACTACAATTAGCTCCATTAACTTAAGACCTTTGTTCTTCCTGAAATCTCAGAAATCTAGGAGTTATGTTCAGGAGAAGACTTGATGGTAGTTAATTCGTAAGAAACTTCATGGACTTTACTCTTTCGACCTATCGCATGGAGTTCAGGTCAAGCTAATGATGGTACACTAACTTCAGAGTAGAATACCTTTGTTGCTATGAGTTGTTGAGGAAACAGAATTTGATGCTAAAGATGAGATGGTATTGGTTTAGGCTTAAGGCAACAGAAGAAGTGCTAGAGTTTATTATAAGAGTTTTGGGTGAATGTATGGGCCAACTCTAATCTCTAAGCCAAGAAAGCAACTGACAAGATATTTGGTGTGACTACTTCTCCCCTTTAGGTGGTACCCAGAAATTTAATTCCATAGGTAATTAAGTGGGATTTTCCCTCATGTTGCTTTAAGCAAAATACAGATGCCTCTCATTTTCCTTGTTTTCCTCCTGCTCCCACATATTCTCCTGAACGTGCATTTCTTCAGAAACTTTAGACAAGGGTCTGCAAAAGGACCCACTTATTCATAGATTTATCTACTTTGGCTTGACTATAATGTGTAGTTTTTCAAATTTTATAACCACAGGAAGGGCTTGCCATCTGTGCTTCCCAAAGCTCTTACCTTTTCCTCTTACCTCACTTCTAGTCAAATTTACACTGTTACTCCTATAGATATTTAAGTTTGTGATAACTTGTTTAGACCCTTCCTCTACTTTTCTTCATCAAAATGTGCTCGGAAATATTTTTCTTTGCTACTCCCAGAGGTCATTTGAAAAGCAATTCTTGCTCTACTTGGGAGGCTGAGGAAAGGGAATCGCTTAAGCCCAAGAGTTGGAGGTTGCTGTGAGCTGTGACGACACAGCACTCTTCTGAGGGTGACAGAGTGAGGCTCTGTCTAAAAAAACAAAAACAAAAAACAATTCCTGATAAATATTTGAGGGCTAAGTATGGTTGAGAGTGTGCCTCCAGTTAGATAGTAGGTCAGGACAATCATTATCAGATTCTTTCTGTGGACCAAATGAAAGCAGCATGCTAAGGTGACATTATTTAGTTTCTTAGTTGACACCCTTGGATGGCAGTATCTGTAAGACAGTGTTTCTCTCACAGGAGGAAACCAGCTATCAGTGCTTTTGCTACTCAGAGGAATTTGCCTTCCAAAGCTTTGGTGGCGTTTCCCTCCACCTGTCTCAAAGGCCCCCTTTGCATTTGTTTAAAGGAGCCTCTCCCTTCCTGCTGGCTGAGAGATTAAATCCTCCAAATTCTAAAAATATCCCCTACGTTGAAGAATGGGGGAGAAGAAAAATTGAGTAGAGAAAAAGAAAATATAAGCCAAATGTTAATGAAAAGGGGTGTTAGTCATGTCTTTATAGGTTGGTGTAAGTAGAAAAGAAAAGTGAAATTTAGTGAGAGAAAGTATTAAAGGACTTCCTGGAGCACGAGTAAAGTGTCTAAAAACAATAGACTAAAAATGGATGACACAGTTTTCCTTTCAAGTTATTGGAAATCAGGTTAAAATAACAAGTCATCACAAGAGGTTATCAGGTACCAATTAAATTCTCGGTAGAAATACTGTAGAGCATTGGTGTCATTAATAAGTGAGCACCATATAAAAATTTGATTAACTCCGTGTTTCTTACATTTAAAAATACATCCAAGAAGCTTCTGTGACATAAATTTAGACTATAAAAATCTTCTCAGTAATATTCAATTGAAATTTTTCCTGAATTCAGTCCAGTGATGAATTTGAGAGGTCTAAACAGAACCTATTGTAAAATCTGTTTTATAGAGAGAATAAAGTATACTTCAGTAACATTGAAAGAATATTGGAGATTCATGCCTAGTGATAAGGCACTGGAAGCTTCTGCCTATAAGGAGAGATGCATCCTTGAGAGATGAGAAGTTACAGATCAAGATTACTGCCTTCCCCTGCCCACCAGTTTTAGAGAAGGGCTACTCTCAAGTAACAATTGGCATTTTCTTTTCTCCTCTTGTGGCTTGGTTCAGGGTACAACTGGACAAAAGAAAACAACTTAAACGACTAAAACTGGGGCTGAATATCTCTGTCTTGGCTACCGTCTTTCACTGACCTACTCTTCTATTAAACACATACACTTTGAATGTTGAAAAGATGCCAAATGATTTTCGAATAATATGCTACATGCAATTAAAATCAGTGTCTGAGGGCACTCTCCACAGGGTGGAACAACTACTGGAGAGACCCTGCAGGGGGCGTTAAATGGAATAAATCAGCAACTGGGGTTGAAAACTACACTAATGCTGCCCATGTTCAGTACATGCAAAGTATATTCTCAAAGCGACAAAACCAATTAGGCAATTTGGCGAACGGTTTAGCCATTTAAAGCATTAAAAAGCACGCGTGCTATTGCTGTTTCTCTGGAACTAGAAAAAGCAAAACCAAACGGCTATTGAGATGAATCTATGACTTTTCTATTTTATAAAATATAAAATATTTTGTATGAAATATATGAATATATTTGAAATATAAAATGAAATATAAAACCCCAGGGGTTATGCACTGGAAAGGATTTACCTTTATCTCAGCTCCCTCCCTGCCTTTCTTCTGCTGTGTTCTTGTGTAGCCCTTCTGCTCTAGAGCCTAACAACTTACAGCCCACAGGAACAGCACGTGAGACTCTGAGCAAACCTGATCTGCTCTACAGATGATACACTTAAAGAAAAAAGAAACACACCATTCCACACTTAAAAAATGCAGTTCCATATTCTTGATTCCTCTAATATATGTCCTTAATTGAATTCTCAGGGAATTATGTGTATTATTTTGTTTATGCTTTAGAAATGAATCGTTTAAGAATGATAAGTTTAGAGTAACTATATTCGTTTAATTCAATGAAGTTTTATACACAAGCAGCTCTGAAGAATTTATTCTGCTTCATTGTGTTTTAAATTGTTCTAATATTAAGTTATTTTACTTTAAGAATTTAAAATGGAAATACTGTTTGACTTGTACAAATAATGCTACATTGTAAACATTTTCCATAAACATCCTTAATGTGCCACTTTGCCACCCTTGCATGAGGTAAAACTCCTAAAAACAGATTATTTACAGCACAAACAGAAGTTCTAGATGCTTCTGTAAATTGCTATTTTGGATATAACTCTTTGGTATCACAGCCTAGAATATTTTATTTGTAATTGGCCAAAATTACATTGTTGAGCCATTCTATTAAATATGAATAGTCAGACATTTACATATTAACATACACACATATACATTTAAGGACACTTTGTATTCACTAAGAATTAAAATAACTCATTTGAAATAATTAATTTAAAATATGTTTTATTTTAGCCCACAGGACATAGATAACAAGTGATTTATTTAAATTTTCAACTTTTTCAATAGTTTGTATGTTTCTTTCAATTTATACCATAACTAGTCATGAAAAGCGCCAAATTATAGTTCACCAAGGAAATGGTGTTTTGGAATTTTTCTTTCATTTTAATGCATGGATTTTCTACAAACTTATTGTATTTTAGGCCCAACCTAATTCCATTTAGACTTTGGGCCTTTATAAATTTATCCTTTGGTTATTAGGATCTTATACTTTAAACATTGATCAAACTCATATTTTATGTCAGTGACCTTCAGAATTTAACAATTCCCATTCTATTGTTAGATTTTGAACCTATTATTAGTTGCACCTTACCTTCATTGGCTAAAAGTGTATCCATATTCTCAGACCAGGCCAGGGCTTCTGTGGCTGGTGACCTGTAGAAACAACATCTACCCTTGACAATAGCATTGTGATCTTTTTCTTTCATAACCAATAGTAATAGTTGAGTTGTAAATTACATTATTCCAGTGAGCTTTGTATCATTAGTTAGACAGTGAAAGGTCAAAAAAATGTGGGATCCTATTCCACAGATGACAGCTCTGGCAACATGAAGTGGGATGTTGCTTGACATTGGCAAATTATTTATTAATCTAGCTGGCAGTGTGAATAATCTTTGCAAATTCTTAAATTCTAATGTAAGAACAAGACAGATAGGAGTTCTGTGGTGCAAGAGTGAATTTCTTCTCATCTCTGAATCTATTAATGGTTAATGTATGTAGCCTTACCCTAGTCTATTCCTGAAAAGTTATCATGAGAGCAGTGCTGATGAATATGCTATTTGTAAATGTTCACAATCTATTGCAAGTTTTACATCTCAAGAGTTTTTAAAAGTTTGAAGGATTTCTAACATGCAATGATGTTGAAAACATTAGTTCATAGGTTTTCATGAAGTCTTTACCCCACTCTGTGTTAGCCTTTATTTCTCCTTAGACTGATATACTTCTGGTGCTGAGCTGATTTATTTAAATCCAGGAATCTGTCAAGACAGAGTAATATCTTTTCCAAAGCAGTCAAAAAATTTATAGACTTAAGTCTCCTGAAGAAGGTATACTTCTGGGGATTTGATGTAGAAATAATAAATCAGGTTTAAGATGTAAACTTTCTGAGATGCAAATATATCATGCATTATTCCTCTTAATAAACAAAGATCTTAATGAAAGAAGCTCCCATCCATAAAAAGCATCCGTTGCCCAGAAAAAAAAAAAAAAAGGTGTTAGATTATGTTACTGTGATGTGCAAGAGACCTCCTTATGGAAAGAGATGGTCCAGTTTAAGGTTGCTATATTTAAGTGATCAGTAATAAAATAGAAAGAATGTTGTATCTAGTCATTCTTACAAAGTTTTCTATTTGCGCATCAAAGTGACTAATCTTGAATACATCAGTGTGAAGTGAGCCCTGTAGTTTTATATTCTATTACTTCCTGTAGTGTGCTGCAGTTTTTAACATTTGTGTTAGGATTGACTGTGCTTCCTTGTGTTGTGGTTGTCATCGCCATATCTGCAGATGATACTGGTTAGTCTCATCAAGGACACAGGGTCAGATCATGGGACTGGGAATTCATTTGCATTGCATGTTTTCTTTCTTACATTTCCTTTCCTAGTTGTGGGCAACTGACTTTCCTTTCTCCCTTAATCTATTAAATCTTAGGGATACACATTAAAAGTGAAACCATTTTGAAATGATAGTGTCTTTATTCAAATGAACATTTTCAAAGATTTGGATTATTTAGTTGCTAACTTTCATAAATGGAGGATGTGGCCGATCCAAAGTTTAATTTTGCTTCAATTTTACACTGAAGAGCTTTTGTGTGGTACAACCTGTTACTTGAATAAGCTTATGTTCTAGGAATTCTAAAATTAGCATATGGTCATGTAAAATGCCCATGTTTAAAAAATATTTCTAATTGTAGCCTGAAATTTGGTGGTTAGTAAGGTATCCAAGTTAAAAGCATCTTAGTGCCTGTGAAACTTATGCTAAAGAATAGGGCAAAGAAGAGCCTGGCCACACAGAATATGCATTTTGAATGAGAAATAGCCATCGAGGAAAAACACTAAGAAATCGAATCTAGGCAAATTCATCCAAGAATGGACATCTGCATGTTAAGTTCTCTAGTGTTGGGACTAAGTGTTATTTTCCAGCACTGAGAACAGAGTGTGTGGTCTGAACAGTATTTTATGGAACATTTTAACAAATAAACACCAAATAATGGCAGGTTTTCAACCTTTCAAGGGAGGAGGGGCAGTGTCTTTCAAGATGCTGGTAGATTACAGTGCTCCAGAGTATAGTAAGGGATAGCTACATTGTATTAGCTTCAAAGACCTAAGGTGTTCTGGGCAAGGGAAGAGGAGAAAGGCTGTGAAAACACTACAGAATAACAAATCCCATGAACATCATCCCTGAGGTGTGTGAGGCTGGAGAGGATGGCCAGCATCCGTCCCATCTGTCCTGGAAGGCATCAGGACCAGTCATGTTCTCTAGCGAGAGGCGGGTTTTGATTTACCCAAAGGCAAAAGGACTATTCCGTGAAGAGCTCTTCGGAGGAAGAGGAGTATTTATAGAATGGAAGCGTTCAAATAAATGGTAGCTTTTCTTTTTGTCCTCATCAGTGTAGGAAAACCACAACAGAAAGAAGAAAGAAAAGTCTGGGAGGTCATGGAGAAACAAGGACAAAAGAAAGATTTCAAATGTTTTGAATTCTAGAGAGATAGAAAAAATTTGCAGACATTTTTAGATAGAGATGTGGACCATTTTGGATAATAGAATTAGAGCTACGAGGAGATTTTAGTATTAATTAAGATTCACAAAATGCTGACATGGCTGCGAGGAGAAGATTGTCCTTCAACTCTCTGAGGAAATACCCTGCTGGTGTGTGATAATACCTGGAAGGCCCTCAGCTTACTATTTTCTAACCTACTTACCCAGAAGGTTCAATTTTGACTGTTTGGTGTGCTTAAAGAGTTGGAGGTAGAGAAGCATTTAGTTTGCAGAAATTAAGTGAAATGCAACTATCATAAGGAATAATGCATATTTGTTGCCATTTAAGTTTGTAAAAAAAACACCAATGAGTTTCTTTTATGTTTGTAATTCTGTGGAAGAGTGAATGATCAGTATTTATAAGTAAACTGAAAGACATTTGTAACAATTGAAAAACAGCACTGGAATGGACAACAATGAACTGAATCGTGTACCTTATATACCACATCGTGCTGACCACGTCACACGGTTTACTTCATTTACAACTGAAAATAGCCTTGTTTTATTAACAGATTATCAATGAGTCAACAGGCTCACGATGCTAATAACTAACACAACATCCCATAGACTGTAATGAGTAGAGTTAGAATTGAAACACAGTTGTATCTTTTTGTAACCCAAATTCTTTTTACACTTCTTCTTAAAATGGATGAGTTAAGACATCCGTGCGTGTACTTTATTCGTGTTTCAGAACATTTATAATAACTCTGTAAAGTGATTTTTCTGCAAATAATGATAGGGCATTTCTTCTGTTAGATGTGAGTTAGAAATGATTGTTTTTCCTTTAAAAAATGCAAGTGTATAAATATTAAGGAAGTAATCTATTGAATAAATATTAGGGAAAAAGAGTGGGCTGTCTTTTACTTGCCATGTGTCACCCGTAATAAAGGGACAGTGTACCACTCTTTCATTTCTTTTTTCTTCTTCAGTTTGGCTCTTAGTTAAAACTTATAGAAAGGATTTAACTGGCTCTTCTCATTTGTGTTTATTTCTCGTAAAATTATGATGCATAATCAGGGTAACTTTCTGTGTGTTACCCTGAAAATGTCACCATGAAAATTCACTGTGAATCTGGAGCCAACATCGCACTTAGTATTTCATGGGGTTTTAGTATTTCATGGGGTTTTGGCTGATTTCCTTTCTGTTTTCTTCATTAATCGGGTGCCATCAAGGCCAGCGGTACCCATATTATATGTCCGGAGAAGAGCCAGGCCAGATGGGAACTGCGTGAAAGCTACCAGTTATCTCGCTAATTGAGCCAGCTAGAACCAGTTGTATTGCATTAAAAAATGTGGAATCCAACAACTTAGCTGTTCACACTCAATTAGCAGTGTGCTGGAGAATGGAAAATTCAAGCAAGGAGTCCATGTGCTCCAGGAAGTGACAGCTGCTTCCTTACCCGGCATTTAATATCCATATGAAAATTTCTCAATAAATATCGTGATGATAATGTTTTCAAGGATCATCTAGATCTTATGTCTCTAACTCACTCCCAACTTTGAAATAGCTCACATAAAGAGAGCTCAGTGGCCTTTCTCCACTTTATAACCTTTCCTTAGCACACAAAGAGCTGATCACCCAAATAAGGCTCACACGGTGGACATATTTTACCCAAGAAGCAATCAATAGCGAAAGGAGAAAAGATAAATCAAGAAGAAAGACAACAATTAGCATATTTATAATAAATGAAGGAAATGAAACGCCTAGACTAATGAAGACTCGAGGGTTTCATTTGTACATCTTCTGAGATAAAAATAGCTTTAAATGGCAACTCACTTCACTGGCATTTTTCGTCCCACTGTCTGACTGTCACAGATGATGCTGAATCTCGCTTTCTGACTGATCTTCAAAGCTGAAGGTAATGTGACAGCAGGAACATCACAATTAGTATGCAAATACCTATTCTCTAGGTTATAAATTGGCATTCTTTAAATCACACTATTCTCAGATTTTTTTTTCATTTGTTGTTAACTTTTCATGGGTCAAAACACTTAAACTTCTTGGTAACAAATAATTCTTTGAATAAATGTGACATTTCTCTGACAGTCTGGCATAAAGGAAATAACTTCCATTTGAAAGTTTATTTTCTAAGCTCATATACATCTGTTTACAATACATCTATCATTCATATGAGGTTAAATCAATATATACGCTATGGCATGCACATTTGAAATATTCATGTTTAATAATCACCTTTAGGTGTTTAATCTGCCTGAAACTTCATTCTGATTTCCTCTGCTCTTTGATTTTCAAAAAGTCTAAAGGAGATTCTATATTTAATACATTTATCTTAAACAGGTATCTATGTTTAAGTTTTTAAAAAATTTCCTTCATGGACTAAAATAGTCTAGTGCAAAATGTTAGACTTTGAAATGTAGGCAATTTTTATGGCTTAATAATATATATTTCTCTTGTACTTTTAATCATGACTCTTATGGCATTTTATGCCAACATTCTTTGGGAAGTACGATGTTTAAGGTAATGATGCTAATATATTTACCAAAAGAAAGGCCACTTATTTGTATTTTTAACTATAGTCAATGTTTTATTAATTCTATGTTCTGTTAAGCTTTATCTCAATATAACAGATTGGTAGTAAAATTCTATCAGGATATAGCATTTATGACCATCAGTTGTCAACTCAACAGTCTCGAAAGATTGAGGATTTTCAGGGCAGAAGAAAGACAGGAGTGAAAGAAAGCACAAAATCTTCCTCTCACCAACTTAGCATTAAAGTGACCCCTTTTAGGTGGTCTATACAAATGCTGAGAATGTAAGTGGCCCTGCACCATTCCAACTGAGAAGTAGGAGAGATGACCTCAGAAGTCAGTGCATCATTAAGAAGGGAAATCATCAATTAGCTCACTTCATTTTGTCAATTCAAGCACCATTAAGTAATGTTCTTGCTATGCAAAAACTGAAGCATTAAACATAGTTTGAGTTTTTGTTTTGCTGAGGGAAGGTAATAGAGTACAAACTTTATGTGTTTGAAAATAGTACATTTTGAAAAATAAAATGTCAAAATTTAAAGACCCTCTTGGTGAAAACCATGTAGGGTCGTTAAGACATAGGGACCAGATATAGTCTTATTTTACATTAGTACAAAAACTGAAACTTCTATTTTTAGTTCATTGCCAAATTTTCTCATAAAATTTGCTACAAATGACAATTATTATTTGTCTAATGTGCACTTTTCATTCCTGTCATGCTGCTTTTTACTGCTCAGGAAAAAGTAAGAACTGGACTTTTTTTACTATACTGAAGGCTTATAATATAATGAGCAGGTGAATTAGTCTTTATTCTTATTTCTTTAGATTTTGCTCTTACGTGTAGTGTCCAGTGCACCTTGAAAAAAGATTGCCATACACAGATACTGTAGATATCACTGGCTTTTAGTCCAGTGGGGGTTCAAGCTCTACAATCAGAGCTTATGCCTTATGTAGTAGGTTGAATTATGTCCCTCTCCTCACAGGTGTTCATATCCTAATGCCTGGAAAATGAGTATGTTACCATACATGGACAAAAGGGATGCTGATTATCTTAGATTATCTTGGTAGGGCCTGTATAATTACTTGAGGCTCTTTAAAAAGGACGGAAGAAGCTTTACAATCAGTAGTGGAATACATGAGGATGAAAGGAAGAGGTTGGAGAGTCATGGGAGTGGGGGAAGAACCGAGGCCAGCAGGTAGCCTTCTGAAATTGAAAAAAGGAAGTAGATTCTCTTCTCAGACCCTCCAGAGGAACTAGCCCTGGCAACACCTTGATTTTAGCTCAAGGAGACTGATTTTGGACTTCTGGTCTCCTGGGCCGTTAGATAATAAATTTGCATTGTTTGAAGCCAGTAAATTTGTGATAGTTCGTTACAGCAGCAATAGAAAACGAACATATCCAGGGAACTCCTTCTTTTGTGTTTACATGGATGGAGCTGGAAAGTATTCTTCTCAGTAAAGTATCTCAGGAATGGAAAAAAAATATCCAATGTATTCAGTACTACTATGAAACCAATTTATAGTCACTCACACTTTCATATGAAAGATGAATCCCAACTATAGCCCAGGATGAAGGAGAGAAAGGGACTAGGGTGGGATAGAGGGAGGGTTAGTGGTGGGACCACACATATGGAGCATATTACAAGGGTACTAGTCAAATCTGTCAAGTATAGAACACAAATGTCTTAATACTGTGATTAAGTAAATGAGGTGAAATTTATGTTAATTAGTAGGATGTAAACACTCCAATTTGTACAAATAATCACATTGGCATGCATATACTCATGATCTATGTATCTATGACTAAATAAATAAATAACTCTGCTTAAAAGAAAATAGGAATGTAGGGCCAGGCACAGTGGCTTATACCTGTAATCTCAACACTGGGGAGGACGAGGCAGTGGATTGCCTGAACTCGTGAGTTTGAGACAAGCCTGAGTCAGAGTGAGACCTCCTCTCTAATTTAGCCAGGCATTGTGGCCAGTGCCTATAGTCCAGCTACTTGGGATGCTGAGGCAAGAGAATCGCTTAAACACAGGAGTTTGATGTCGCTGTGAGCTGTGATGCCAGGGCATTCTACCTAGAGGACCAACTAAGACGCTTTCTCAAAAAAAAAAAAAAAGGAAGAAAAGAAAACAAAAGAGAAATGTAATAAAATAGGCATAAATTTTGAGATCAAAGCAGTGAGTTCATATGTGAATGTGGACTCTTCATGTTGGACAATAACCTTACCCTGACATGTTTGCTATTAAAATAGCATAAGGTTATTGTGTGAAACCAAAAGGAAATATACTGATACCACACATCTTACCTAATACATATATGTACGTATACACATATACATATATGTATGTTTTATTTTCTCTCCCCTTATTTGACATTCACAGAACCATAGTTCAGATCATAGTCTGGAACATCTATGGACAATACTATTAATCCTGCAACAAGTGGAGGTGTCTGTACAAAGGTGTGAGATTTACTCTACAAATCTTTTGAGTGCATGCATTGTGTAAGAAATCATGATGAGTGGGATAGATATATGCAACTTTAATCAGAGACTATGAAATTGGTAATTAACATAATGAAGGTGTTTGTGGAATGAATCAGAAGACTGCTAGAATAAAGGCAGATGGGAGAGTTAAAGATCATGTTGCATTCATAATTATATATAATTTTTATTTGTCAATTAAAAAATTAACTAATTTAATGGGTAAAGAGGAGTCAACAGGATCATGGCAGACTTTTTAATTTTCAGTTTATAGATTAAGTAAATGACACAAATTATAGTTATAAACCACATGCTAGCACCATTATACTTTGGGGAACTGAACTCTACAGTCAATTTAAATAGTAAGGTGGTTCTTGAAATTGTGATACGAAGTTTAAGAAATTCACAGAAAGTGTAGTGCCATGGTCCAACCATGAGAGGACACTCCTGGGCAGGGATGAGTCAGAGAGCATTAGTGTTGTGGTGCCTGTGTAGAGAGGTGGGGGCAGGCAGGAGCAAAGAGACAGATTTCACACCCGACAGCCTGAAAGAAGGTTGTTCCCACTCATGATCACACAATCAAAAACAAACAAACAAGCGGACAAACACACAGGGCGAGGGATGTTACTATGTTAAAAAAAGTTCAGAGATATGCAAAATGTTTAAAGCGTTTCACTAACCTTCCTGCCCAACAGGTCACAGTATTTTTATAGCTTTTTAAAAGATAATATAGAGCTTATGTTTGAGACCTCTGTATTATTAGCTTATAAAATGATTGTTATTTACACTTAAGTACCAAAGGTAGGAGAGAAAAATTAATAAGGAATTTATTCTGCGAACTGCATAATTTAAGCAATAGCCTATTGTTTTACTTTGATGTAAGTGCTAGGTAATATTCACATGAATTGATTGAATGGCATCCAAGTGAGAATGTCATGAAAGATTTGGAAAAACAAAATAACAGCTGAAATACTGAAGCATGAGGATCCCTTAAGGCCAGGAGTTTGAGACCAGCCTGGGCAATATAATGAGACCCTCTTTCTAAAACAGTTTTTGAAAATTAATTGGGAATGGTGGTGTGCACCTAAGACAGAAGGAGGAGGTTCACTTGACACCAGGAGATTGAGGCTGCAGTGACCTGTGATTGTGTCACTGAACACCAGCCTGGGCAACAGAGGGACAGACCCCATCTGTGTAATTAAAATAATTGAACATTACAATGTTAAAAAGCAGTGGAGATAAAAAGATGGAGACGTTACCTCTTTTCACTTACATGGATGGAGATGGAACATATCCTACTTAGTAAAGTATCTCAAGAATGGAAGAAAAAATGTACTCAGTACTATTACAAAACCAATTTACAATCACTCACATTTTCATATGAAGAATAGATCACAACTATGGCCCAAGTTGAAGGAAGGAGGAGGGCAGATGGTAGGGGCGGGGGAGGTCAGATCAAGGGAGGGTGAATGGTGGGCTCACACCTATGGTGCATAATGCAAGGGTACCTGTCGGATGTATTAGTATAGAGTATAAATGTCTTAACACAATAACTAAGTAAATGAGATGAGGTATATATTAACCAGTGTGATGTAAGCATTCCTAATTCTATATGAAATCAGCACATTGTACCCCATAAATGCATTGGTGTATACATGATCTATGTGTTTATGATTTAATAAAAATAAATAAATAAATAGAAATAAAGGAAAAAAATCAAATGATTGAACAATTTAATAATAGTTAAAATAGTTTGATCATATATATTAGAGACTTTCCAGTCACTCTCTTTAATCATTATTCTAGGAGA